AACTTGATAAACTTGAATTCCAGTCATTGTGATTAAAGCAAAAATTGGAAGTCAGCTCCTCAGTGTAATGACAGACTAGAAAGAGTTCAATGGGGAGGAAGGATCCAAAAGCCAACCCCAATTAAAGAACTGAATACACAGACAGTGTATAGACAGGATATGCTGGTTTTTGAGAAGCACCATCTTTATCTGAAATGTTTGTGCTTTAAAATTTGTCCAGTCATTTTCCATTTCATGTGAACAAATGTGCATTCTGGTTGCTTATCAGATCTAATTCTCCCACCTCTGCCAGGTATGTGCAAATTAAACTGTCTTGCAGTCAATATTTGAGATTTCTGAGGAAAGGCAGCAAAAGCAGAGCACATGTCACACTTTGCTAGCCTCTTTATATGGGATTTTTTCACAGCTTTTGGGACATCTGTTTGTCTCTGACTGACAGCAGGCTAATATGTATTATCATTAAAAAGTGGTTCTGAGGAAATGCATGCTCTCACCTTGCTGCTTCTGCAGCTGTGAAGGCTTTTGTTTTCACTCCCATCTCTGTGTAAGTGAAGATAATCTCTACAAAGAGGCTTGATATTGGCCTGTCATATCATGAGTTGCTTATCAAGCACTCAAGAAATTGAATTTAATTTTATCTGTTATATCTGGAGAGTCTTATTAAATCATCCTGCAGTTGAGAGGTTGTATGAGGTCAACAGGTTTGTCTCTTTCACCATCTATCCCTCTATTGTTAACCTTTGGAGAATTACTAAAATGTTCTTTATTTTATCACATAAGGTTGGGTTAAATCTTCTTGATCCAGAAATTGTTGTGATTGAGTGCCACATGCATGTAATTCTTTTGCATGGTTTCTGGATAAGGATTGAGCACTTAGTAATCTGTACAAATGTAGATATCTCTTATCATTCTGGTTTTTCTGTTGTTTTGATATTCTCCCAATGCCTCTGTTTTTAATTGGTTCAATGAGGCTAAAACCAGTCAGATTGGATAATAAATCTGAGTCAGCAAGCACTTGGTACTATTTGTGGGCCAAGACACAAAGCAGGGGTGAGGAGGAGGGGGATAACAGGGATGGGTGTTGCCAGGTGTCAAAAGCAAAGGGCAGAGGGAGAAGCTGGCTGTAAGTAGAGGTGGAAATGGGATGGAGGTCACAGCAGCAGCCCATGGGCAGGCAAGGTCTGGCAGGAGGGAGCCTGTCATCATTAGAGGTGTTCACAAGAATCTAAAGGTCAACCTTGCCACCACCACCACCAGTTCCTCTGTATTCTTTGTTGCTGGGTTTCTGTTCAAAGACCTAACTCTGCCAGCCAGGATGTTCATATCTAAGGGCTTGAGGCAGTCACAGGATATTGAATTTCCTGAAACAACAGAAGTCCTCCATACTTTCTGCTGTCACCACAAAAGAACTCCCTCCAGCCTTTAATCTGATGGAGAAAAAGGCTTGAAAAAATAAATAAATTATGAATATCATCTCCCAAAAAATTTAAATTTTAAATGCAAGATTTAATGCAAAACAAAAAGAAATGCTGTTTCATTCAAATTTGAAGCTCTCAATCAAGAAATCTTTCTAAAAGAATAAGCCAAATTATTGTTTTTTAAATAATATGTCCTTATGCTCAGATACTCAATTAGTGTCTGAGCACTGTTATGCTTTTTCAAACTTGTTCTAAGAAAACCTTTAAAAAAACACCCACCAAACCTCTTTTTAAAAAAGGACTGGAGTGTAGGATTGGAGTTAGAATTTGGGTGGAAGCACTGGTGCATACGTTGTACATGAGCTCTATGAATTGCTGCAGCTAGGTGTCTGATGGCCACCAGTGACTTGGCAGCTGGGTTCAGCTTTCTTGTGGCCCTGGCAGTAATTTGCTTTGTAGCCTTGAACAAGCTATTAACCTTTTTTGTGCCTCTTTCTCTTCACAGAAACGTTTAACACCACTTAGATGTCTCATAGGGGTAATTAGTAAATTAATTTTGAAACATATTAAGTGCCTTCTGCCATCATTTCTGACACTCCAGTGGACAGGTTAGGGATTGAGCAGGTATTCTGAGAGCATCTTATTTCTTATCTCTTTGTCATAGGGTGCCTATTTGACACAGATAATTCAACAAAGTAAGAACTCATGTGCTTGAAAGTCCATGTATTTTGGATAAAAGTTCTCGACATGACTTAAAGAGGAAAGATATGGAGAAAACTGGGAAGACAAGACGTGAATTGAATAATTGGGATTTGCAGTACTCAAAGAGTATCAAGAAATAAGAAGAGAATGCATTAATTGAAATAAAATCCCTGTAGGACTAAAGAAATGTTTCAGTGAAACTCAAACCCTAAATTGTGATGGGAAATGGAAAAAGGAGATGAACACTATTTGCTCCCATCAAGATCAAAGCTATTCTTAATGAGATGGTTGAGATCTTTGGGAAGCCTACTCAAAAATTCAATAGTGCTTTATCTGAGAAAAGTAATTATTCGAAGATTGCTTTTTACTGAGGTGTTACAGATGGAGACTTTGTGGTGTGGTAGTTTAAAACAATTGGTCTTTACCTCTAGAGATTCCCAAGATGAACATTGCCCAGAAGAAAGAGTAAAATTGTGTTTTTAAAGCATCGTTTTAGGAGCAGTGGGACAGTTGGCAGAGTTTCTAAAGCTGTTGAGAGACTCTGCAGACTTTAATTACCATCTCAATATTGCAGAAGTTGTTTAATTTCTGCCAAAGAAGGGAATAGTTGTGAGAAAGTGAGATCACACTCTGTCTTTCATTCTTTCTTTTTTGACAGGTGAATAAAGAATGCATTTCAGTATCTCCTCTGATGCTGTGACACATTTGTAAAATTTGCATAGAATTGTAAAATAATTTTTCTTTAAGTTTAACAAAGCTTTTCTTTTTTTTCTTCTCTCTTTAAAGTGCTGTGCAGCACAGTGTAAATACAGTTTAAGTCTTGTCATGAGAGATGCAAGATGAAAATGTTTTCTGTCACTGATTGGTTGGCTTCAAACTATTGAGTATCAGACTTCATGGTCAGACACCAGGTGTTGTTTTATTTCCAATAAATTTCGCATTCAGGTTTGAATTCCATCTCTAGTGGGAGTGGTTGAAAGCACAAACTGGAGTAGGAGAACAAAGAGGAAATGACTAAAATGAGAAAAATCATTCAATTTCAGAAGGAAAACTTAGCCTATAACACATTTCCTTGGTGAAGGATATGTTTCTCTTCTAGGCCTCAAACTCTAAATCAGAGTATGTATAACTAAGTTTTGCACTGTCATTCATAGGAGAAAAAGGCTGATTTTGTATATATATACATAAACATGTATGTATATATGTATTTGTCTTAACAGTTCTCTTCATTCATGGCACTTGAGTGTGTTCAGTTTTTCCCCAAGTGCTTGCAGTAGCCAAGAGAATACTCATTCTTTGAAGACCCTTGTCAGCTCCTTCAGTAGATCTACTATATTGCTATTTTTTTTTCTTTTGATGACCACCTCACACCTCTCTCTACTTGCTAAAGCACCAGGCACTGTTTTCTCTATAAAACCCGTTTTTTTCTCCTTCTCTTCAAGTCTCTTATCTCTCAAGGACCTTTTCAATGCTATCTTTCAGTTTCAAATGTCTATTGTTACAGTACACTGTGTTCAGAGAGCTACTACCCAGGAAGTCGTCTTATTTAATTGCATTTTTCACTGTATATATTATAAAGAAACTTAATGGCAAAGATAATATATGTGCTTGTTTAAAATGAAGAAAGGATAGATCATGGCAACAAATAGGTGTAGTTTCTAATCCTTAATATTCATCATGTTGCTGGGAATACCTTTATGTTATATTTAGAATTCTGTTGTTTTGATGTTTGAAACTAAATGTTTGCAGTTTGTCTGGCAAACTGCATGCTGAATACATTACACTGATTCACATTTCCTTATTTCAATATACCATCTGTGCTTTTGGCTGATTTTTGCCTTGTTGGAACTCTTGCAAGTTACAAAGAACAGTTATACGCAGAAGGAGAAATCCTATATTTCACTTCCTTGAACAATCTTGACTGTTTTGACCTTAAACCAGCAAGGACACAAGACTGAAGCTGTATCAATCACAGGCTTTATTTTCTCTGGTGAGGAAGCATGTACTAGCAAGGTATATTTTCAGTGAAACTCTTGTATATACAGACATGGTCATGATTTTCATTGTGTAATCATTTTAATTAAGTTCAACGATAAAAGTTACTCTTGCATGAGGAATGAATGCACTGGAGAGGCAGCGAGAGATTGATGACAGCTTGGGGAGCATCACGTACTCTGCTGGTGCAAATGCACGTGGGGGGAGCAGCTGAGCTTGGGGAGCAGGTCAGAGATCACCTGCTCAGAGTAATCATGGTTTTGGAGGAATCAAGATACAATGTGAATTCCCAAAGCACTTTTTTGTGCTATTTCCAAGGGGTTTTGCTTGAATGAAGAGCCTTATTACTAAAATAATAAACACTAATTAATATCTGCATCGTTTTTGTAACTGCTAGTTTAGTAAGGTAATTAGTATAATTAGTATACAGCGATGCTTGCTGGCATGATAAATCATGATGTAGTAAATGTTCACTCTTTACCACTATGATGTATTATCTAATTTACACAGGTAAAAAAAAGGAAAAGGGTAAGGGGGAAATCAAGAAGGGAAGCCAGTAGTGACAGCTGTGTGGCCTTTTGGTCACTCTCCTTGCATCTGTTGCCTGTATTCTCAATTGCTTTGAATTGCTCCACTGACAATTAACTATTCTTTTTCTCACATTGCTGTCTCCATCACTGACTAAAGCCAGCAAAGACAGGACAAAGATGAATGAAGTAAAAAAATTTAAGGAGCATTTTCTCCTCCTGTGCAAAGGATGATACATGCCTATTTATTGGGTGCTTCCTTAACTCTCAGGTTCCTGAATGCACCATCTACCAGCTACAGTTCGATGCCAGATGAAGAATGTTAACATTGTTTTCTTCATTATGCCCTATTTTCTAGAACCGATGAGAACGCCCAAAACACTGAAGATTGCTGAGATCCAGGCCAGACACATTGCCGTGGACTGGGAATCTCTGGGGTACAACATCACTCGTTGCCATACTTTCAATGTCACTATATGCTACCACTACTTCTGTGGACACAATGAGAGCAAAGCAGACTGCCTGGACATGGACCCCAAAGCACCTCAGCACGTTGTGGATCGTCTGCCTCCCTACACAAATGTCAGCCTCAAGATGATCTTAACCAACCCAGAAGGGAGGAAGGAAAGCGAGGAGACCATTATCCAGACAGATGAAGATGGTAAGTTAAATGTTCTTATGGAAATTACATCCAAGTCCAGTCTAGGCAGGTGAAAGGAAATGACTTTGTATGTTACAATATGTATCATGAAGGGTGGACGTTCTCTTCTATTAATGTATTAATTAGCCCCAAAATGGCAGCAATGAAGGTATTATAGCTGTCACCCCGCATATGTGGCCAAAGCTGTCCATGCATCTCAAGTCAAACTGGATTTCTGTGTCTCTTTCTTTTCAGAAAAAGGGGGATGGTTTCCCAGTCTTTCAAATACTGTGTTAATACAGGTGATGAGAAACGCGTAGTGGTGTTAGACTTCTTCACAGTATTGGGCGTAGTATTGGAAAATTAATTCTGTATGTAATATTTAAATATTGAGTTCAGTGCTTAAAGATTCTATTCAAGATTTTAAACTTCTATAGCAAATATATTTGAGCAAAAATTTATATTGCAGGTCTCAGAATACAGTATCTGCTAACTATTTGAAAGCCCCCTATGAAATTAAAGTAATATTTTGACAACTTGGGAATTAACTCAGTGATCCATATGGGTCCGTTCAACTCCAGATATTCTGTGGTTCCTCTTTAAAATGCTTTCAACAAAGTTTCAACAAGACGGTTGAATTTACCTCAGTTGTGAAAAAATAAACAATAGATGTAGACATGTTAATGGTTACACATTCAGAGGTTAGGCTATGAATCTTGGTAAAAAAGATATGAAAATAAAAAATTATACTTTTCCCTAATAATATTTAAAATGTGGTAACAAAAACAATTTTTTGTTTCTTTTTCTTATGTTTACATTTTGTGAAAATACTGACAACAGATACTTCCATAGGTAACAAAAATAGAATACTTGGACTAATGTAAGACTGTAGATAAACAAAAAGGTAAATTGAAAAAGCTAGTGTGTTTACTTGCCTGCAAAATAAATGAATGGGAAATATACCTTCATATAACAGTCAGTGAGTCTGGTAGTGCTGTTTTTCCATACATTTTCAATTTTATGAGAAATAAAAGAGGAATATATTTACTGTTGCAATAAAAAGAAAAAAAATATTAAATAGGTAGAATATGAGGAGCTGTAGAAAACTATAGACACATAGATGCATCATATGAAGACTTAGTGACAAATACTGTATGGTTGCTACTTTCCTTGAGCTTAAAAAGAGTAGTAGTGATATTGTTAAGTCCATGGAAAATGGATTTTTTTTTCCTTTTTACCTGGGTTTTCAAAAAAGGTTGTGGTTTCCAATGGAAACCTTTATCTTGTTAGATGTGTAGTGATGGCAGATGGTCACTGTGTCAGTACTTGCCAGGATCAGAGTCAAGTGAGAACTTTGTCTCCCAGTTTTGTTGTGGATTTTTCTTGGAAGATGGTGCACATAAGGCAGGTTTTTGGTCTCAAGCTAACACACCAGTGTGCTCTCAGTGAACTTGAGTCGAGTTGGCTTTGGTGTCACAAGCAGTATAACATAGAAGAAGCCTCACCCAGTGAACAGAAGTTGCCAGGGTAAACAGATTGAAGCAGATGTTGTTTTCACAGAGGGACTAATACATTTTAAAAGGTATCTATATTTAGTTGTGCTGGTGGTAATAATGCTTGTGACCTGAAAATAGCCTCCTGTGAGCTTTACTCTGTGAAAAAATATTGAGATTTTAATTTTGTGTTACTGGTTGATTGAATGTCTATGTGCCATGTCTTCAAAGTTCGGGGCTTGCAGACAATGTACAATACTAAGAGCTTCACACCTGAATCCTTCCTTGAGCTCTCATAGCAATAGTAAACTAAATCCTGTAGCTGACTGCTTATGTGTACAATGGTAATTTAGTTCCAGTCTCAGTGATCAAGTATCTGAAACTATTTCCAAGCACTGTTTGAAGCCTAAAGTAAGAATTGGACTAAGATGAGAAGTCCAATTATGTGTGTGATTCTGTGCCCTACATTTCGTGTGTGATGAAGCTGCACTGTCTTTATGGTTTTTGCAGGTTTCTAGAGTAAGCATAATTTTAATTATATCATGGAGGCATTATCAGTGATTCATTTTGGAGAAGGAATATAGAGGAAATAGAGTGTTGCTCTGCATTTTTGCAAATAACATTAGTTAGAAATAGCCCCTGATGACATGTTTACCTGAAACTGTGCACTCATGTTGTATACTTTTCATAAATAGAAACTTTGAATACTCCAGATGACAACGGATAATTAAATTTTTCTATGTTTTCTGTAGTGTGGGATTCTTTCCAATGCTGTGGTTTTTTGGTTTTTTTTTCCACAAGGTACTGCCAAATAAGCAAAAACTTCATAGACTCTTAGAGTTTGAGATGCCTAGGCCATGTTTTTCTGTCTCTCTTCCCCTCTACCATTTCACCCTCATCTTCTGGTTTTTGTCATACTTCCCCATGCGTCCAAGCTTCCCTTTTGTCTCTTCAGTTGTTGTTATGTTTTAACCTTTCCTTTCATCTCACTATATCTTTCATGTCAATTCCTCCCTTCTGCTAGGATCTTTAGACTTTTCTGAACTTCTAGGATTTTCCAAAAGCAGAGGACTTTGGACTTTTTGAGGCTCTTCTGTGGGACAGGAAGGATCTCTGTTTGTCTTTCACAAAGACTCACATTTATGTAAGGCTGTGCAGCTGGGCTGGGGGCCTTTCAGAGATGATCCGTTCTGTCAGAATGCTGAGTGTTAACTCAGTTGCATATGATACCTGGAACAGAATTAACTCAAGAAACAATTAGTAGGAGAATGAGATAAGATTCAAAAGCTGTGCTTCAGATCTTTGGAGCCATGGCTGACCAATGAGAAAAGTTTTAATAGCATGTAATTAGCAAAGCCCAGGAAAACCATGACAGTCTGAAAACAGTCTTTCTATTGACCAGAGCTAGATCTGAATACTTGGCAGTTTCAGTATTTCTATTTAGCATGGGAAGATGGAATTAATCTTTAAAGTATATTTTAGTACTTCCAGGAAGTTGTATTCCATGTAAAAACAAAACCCCTGAATGAGACACTGTTAAAAAGTTTTGCAAAAAGAGGATGAATACAGGGAAATTTGTGTGTGTTTTAAAAGCTAAACATTTTTCACTTTGGGGAGAAACCACACTGCTACTTAGGTTTGGAAAAAGCTCTTCTGAGTACACAGGCACTTGGCATTATCTGTGCTATGACAGGGACTCAGTGCTTTTCATGACTTGTACAGAAGATGTACACTGTTTGAAGAATTTGATAAAGGAAGTAGAGGAAGGCTCATGCAACCTGGGGCTGCATACATGCTGGGCAAAGACAGTGTTTGGCACTTTGAGACAAAGCACAATAACCAGCAGTGAATTTATCACTTAGCATGAATCTTCAGCGTGCACGTGTTCTTGGAGCTGCCTGTTGACCAGAGTGCTGCCAACTCAGAGGGACCCTTTGTAAAAGCAGTGGATGAATGGGATTAAAGCAGATAAATGCTTCCTTAATTTTTAATTGGAAACAGATGCAAAAGGCAGTGGATTAACAGGAGTAGTGACATTAGCCCTGAGAGAGCAGCTACAGAGAAAGCAAATTGTGTAGCTCAAAGTGTTCAAAGGTTTTATAACCAGTAAGGGAGTGTGTCATCTAACAGTAGGCAAACAACTAATTGAAAAGGATCACTTGGAATAGGAGAATCCATTTTGGGGCTTAAAGTAGAAGAGAGCTTTGGTCTGGGGCAAAGCATGTGCTCATTGGACATAAATGAGGTCCCCTGATCTTTCAGACTCTGTGGCTTATTCTGCCCCATGCAGAGATATTGAGAGCTATGATGCAGGGTTAAGACACCAACTATCCAATCATTACTCGTGCTCCTGGGAGAGCTCCAGCAGGCTTGCCAGTCTGGGGAACAGCAGAGGAAGAGGAAATGTTATAATTAGAAGACAAAAAAAAGAGGAAGAGTGAAAGGCTTTGCATACTATTTAAATGTGTGTCCTGACTTCAGCTTGGATAGAGTCAATTTTCTCCCTAGTAGCTGGGACAGTGCTGAGGTTTGGATTTAGAATGAGAATGATGTTGATAGAGCACTGATATTTTAGTTGTTCCTAAGTAGTGTTTATACTGAGTTGAGGACTTTTCAGCTTCTCATGCCCTGCCAGCAAGAAGGCACAAGAGGCTGGGAGGGGATGCAGCCAGCACACTGACCTAAATAGGCCGAAGTGATGTCCCATACCACAGAACATCATGCTTAGTGTATAAACTGGGGAGAAACCTGGCCAGGGTTCACAGCTGGGAAAATAGCTGGGCATCAGTCTGTGAGTGGTGAGCAATTGCAATGCACAGAATTTGTTACATATATTCTAATTCCTTTATCATTGCTCTTCTTATTATTTTCTTCATTGTTTTCTGCCCCATCCAGCTGCTGAGGGAGGAGTGAGAAACTGCCTGGGTGGAGCTGGGTTGCTGGCTGGGCTTAAACTATGACACTGGGGCTGGAAAGGAAGTGTCAAGGGGAATATGTACACCACTGTCAATATAAAATCAGGTTTTTTCCCTAACAATCAATAGTATTTTTGTTCCTTACTGCAAATAGTCTAACTTGAGGGATTTCCAAAGAAGTAATTTTTGTCACCATCTTTTCTGCAAATGCTCTTATGGTAAAGACCAGTAAGAGCAGTTCTGGTTTTGGTTTTCCTTTCTAATAAACAAAATTTGCTTTTATTTGAAACTTAGTCTCCAGCTGTAGTAAAGTAAAAATAGCAAATCCCTCAGAAAAAACCAATGGAAAGGTGAACCATTTTCATTTCTGGTTACATTTGAACAGTAGAAGAGATTAACTGTCACCATCTCCTGAAAATAAACATCTACTTTGAGAGAAAGGCTGTAAGATTGCTGCTAATATGCTGCCCTTTTTGATTACAACAAAGGAATTTTTCCCAATATAACCCTACATTTTTCTGCGCATAACTTTTGCCACAGAGCATAGTAATTCTGTGCATGACTTTCACAGAGTATAATAATAATAATAAAAATACTCTGTTTACATACACTTTCATTATTTTGTAGCAGGAAAACTGAAGCAATATAAATTCATTTTTATAGTGGTTGGTGTCAGTTAATACATTGTTTTTCCAGAAGGAATGTATTGTAATATAAATTTCCTGTTAAGTCCATGTAGAACAACATTTAAGTAACACTATTTGTGAATAACAATTTATTTGTGACTGGGACATAATTTAATGCAAACATATTGGTCTAAAATGAATTGGTGTGATGTCAGATTGATGGTTGGTACTTTCATTATGCATAGTATTTATAAAGTCCATCATTCCACATGCATATAGAAGAAAAGATTATCAGCTATTCACTATATGAATATATAGTTTTATTAAAAGAGCTCTGGAGATGCATGTAAATCATGAAAGAAGAGCTTGTGTTGTTTGCACTATAAAACCTTGCTGAGATTCCCTTTGAATTTGTTTTATCTTACTTTTTCATATATATGCATTTTGTGTTTGTATACTGTTTTACTGTTTTGCTTGATTTGGTTTGTTCTTGCTTAAATTCAAAATCTCTTCTGATATCCATATAGTTAAACCCACCTAAATTTTTTCACTTCTTCAGAAGAGTGTAAATCCTGACTTGTTGGAAGTTCAGCATAGAATAATGCATGGGAAAGGAAGTGTGTTTACTGTTGCTGTCACTGAGAGATGGTGGGGTCACACTTCACAAGGTCAGCAGATCAGAATCTTTTTTAAGAGTGGGTGCAGAGGCCAAAAGGTCTGAATTCTACTTGTCTAGCATCTACTTATACTTTTTGAATTATTCAGATGATTACATTAAGTAACATACTTCACCTTAACACACTTGTAATAGTCTTGTGTGATTTGATTTAAGTGTAAACTGTCTGTAAGTCCAAAGGAAGGAGTGGGAGCTCATGTAGGAAAAGAATGGGAGCTGGGAAGTCAGCAAAAATGTGCTGTGGTGAGTGATGGAACTTCTGGAAATGCTCACACAAGCCTGAGGAAAGCCTTTGCTGCTGTTTGTGAGGAGTTTTCTAGAAGCTATTATCAACACAGGGATGACATTTACCTGGCTGGTTTTGACCCAAGTCCTTGCTAAATATCATGCAAAGGTATATTGGGTCTGGCTGAGCTGGAGCTCATTTTCTTTGCGTTGGTGCCCAGGAAGGTGCAGATAACACCCCAGGGTTCTGCTGCTGCTGCTGGGCAGGGCTGGCACTGCGTCGGTGCTGACTCCCAACATTCTCCCCCAGCAAGAGGCTGGGAGTGGGCAAGATCCTGGGAAGAGACACAGCTAGGCCAGCTGACCCAAATTACTCATAGGGCTATTCTATGCCATATGATGTCAGCTCAGGTGTAAAAGCTAAGGGAGGGTGAAGGAATGGGGGAAAATTCTTTATTTTACAGTTTTTGCATTCTGGAGCAACCACTGCACATGCTGAAGCTCTACTTCCTAAGAAGTGGCTGAACACTGCTCACTAGTGGGAAGTCGAGATTAAATGTTCCCCTTTGCTTATGCATGTGCAAACTTTTGCTTTTTTGGATTTTTTTCCCCTCTTTAGTTATCTGCCTTATCTCAGCCCACTAAATGTTTTCCATCTTGTTTCCTCTCCTCTGTCCTGCTGAGAAGGGGAGTGAGAGAGCAGCTTGCTGGGCACTTAGCCTCCAACCAAAGTCAATCCACTACAAAAGAGAAGGCTCTTACCATTCTTTTGGAAAGGTGAAGTTTAAGGAATTTCTGAGGTCCTTAGTCTTGCTGGGAGTTGCAGGGAATAGACAGCAATGGCTACCTACATGGAGAAATGTAGTTTGAGTCTTCAGGGTAGGGTTACCAACAGGTTACCTTGCTCCTTGTCCTTTTGTTGGTAGGGATTTTTTTTTTTTTCTGTTTTAGAGATTTTTTTACTATTTTTGGTCTTTTTAACATTTCTGTTTGTAACAAATACTGATCTAATAACAAAGACATAAAAGAACAAACAAAAATGCTAAGGAATTATTTTGACTAACCTGAAGATATTCTGTTCTTTAAACAAATTCTCTTACTTCTGCTTTTCTCTCTCTCCTCACTCCCTTTACCCTTTTGGTAAAGCAATGCAATTAAAAGACATTTTTACTGTGGCTAAACTGGAAAATGGAAAGGAAAAAAAATAACTTCAGACCATCACAATATGTTCTTCAAACTAATATTAATTTATATTCCTTTTTCTGGGCACTTGAACTTTTATTTATCTTTTTTTTTAATTCCAGTTGAGTTCTCAAATTATTTAGTTTAATCCCTACATTAATTTTTATGAATTTGTGGTTGAGGGATGAGGTTTGTGAGAATTACTGTTCTCTTTCTCTAGATGCTTGCACTCTTTTTCTTTATGACCTTTTTGAACTGGGATTCCAAGCAATCTGTTCATTGCTGTGATATCTTCTGTTCTTGTACCCTTCCCATGCCAGAGGGAAGAGAAGCTAACTGGGATCACATAATTCCAATCACTTCAACATTGCTTCTGCTGCCTTAAGCATCAACCTTTGTATTGCAGGAGAAGAAAAGAGTCATGGAATGAGATGAGCCTAGAGGCTTCTCTCACCTTGGTGTTTAAACCAAAGGTGTAGGAGGATTTATGCAACCATCAAATGCAGAGCCCTACACCCAGTTTCAACTGAATATGAAACATTTCTTTTTTTAAAGCACTTTACAAAAAGTATTTTGCATGTTTTTGAGCAATCATGCCTATTTTCTTTTAACCTCAGAAACTTTGATGTGGTTTAATGTCACATTTTATACACTGCGTACGTGCCCTGGTGCGTACCTGTGTTCTTTCCCAAACGCAGATGTACATGCACACACAAAAAATTGTGCATGCATCTCCCAAGGAAAATGTCATGTGGATCAGGGTACATTCATACCTCTTTTGAGATGTGAGGAAATACTGTAGGGTATTCCCCTGAAAAATGAAACATTGCCTACAGGAAGTCTCTCAATGACAAACAGCACAGAGGGGCTGTCACTGCATGTCAGCCTTCATCCACTGCTTGGTATGTCCTGGGACCCTGAAGAAAAGCACCAGACTGTGATTTTAGATAACTTCTCCTAGACCTTATGGCAGTTAGATGAACATGTTTTGTGAAGCTCTCACCTATTTACTTCTGGGCTGTTTTGACTACCTAAATATATTATTGATGTGCCAAGTTATGTTGATTGTACTGAGGATAAGATCATCATTTATAGTTTGCATGTTGACTGAAATAAATTTCATTGATGGGAGAGACCACTCACACTTTCCTGCTGCTAGCACAGCACCTGGCGCTTCCTTTGATCCATTGGATTTTAATTTATTTTTGCTCTTTTTAAAACTTCAGTCTGCTTTGATAATGAATATCTAAGGGCTGTCATGCATAAGGCTTACTGAAAGTTGCATTGGAAAAAATAGGCTTATTAGAAGGAGACAGAAATATATATCAATATATTAAACAGAAATGACATTTTAGATTGAAAGACTGCAAATTTGAACAACTTTGTCTCTTTGAGGGGGAAGGTGTTTCATTGGGTTCAGAGTTTCTCCAGGTGGTCCCTTATGCTCACCCCCTTCTTTCAGCATGTGTGTGTTCAAATCTAGGTGAGCTGCTCTGATAAAAAGGAATTGTATGTGTAGGCAAAAATATCTTGTAAGCTGTAATGGGAGATAACTAAATGCTCTTGCCCGGTGTTGATGGGATTACTAGGTGCTGTGAATCACTTGGGCAAAGAGGCCTAAGGTGACATTTCAGACTTGTTATTACACCAAGGATATTGGTTTCGTTTTTTAAAAAAAAGAGTAGGGTGATCTTGGTGTTGTTCAGCTCAAAGCTTTGAGTACATCTCTTATTGGAAAGATTTGAAGTAAGCAGTCTTGATCCTTCTGCACATGAGGAGGTCAAAGGCTGAAAGAAATGGCAGCTAAGCTTGTGTGTTTCCCCATGTTCAGCCCTCTCTTTTAAATGAGGTTTTCTTCTAAAACAGCAAATCATAAGAAGATGTGATTGAAAACTGTTTTGTAAGAATTTCTCTCATTTGGAGGAAGCTGTGTAACAGAAACTCTTCCCTGCCTTTGATTTTTTTCCGTTTAAAAGAATTTTAGAACCGTGTAGTCCTTGTCCTAAGATACGCTTATTACAGAGTTCAGTGATGTTCCCTGAAGTTGTAATCTAGCTTGAACTGTTTCCCCTGGCTATACTATGAGACAATTTGACTTTGCATGGAGTTTTGAAAACCGTATGTGGGGATAACGTTAATGTTTCAACTTCATGCTCTCTCTGCACTGCAAATGACAAAATACACTTTGAAGTGCTTTTTCACACATTCTACCATTGCCTTTTGCATGCAAATGAATATTAATAAAAATAGACCCATGCTCACTTTTGGTTTTAATAGGATGTTCTGTCATCTCTTTAGTTTTTCTGTCTCTTGAATTTCCTATTTTTAAAACTTCCATTGTGTTTGTAGTGCCAGGCCCTATACCTGCCAAATCAGTGAAAGGAACTCCTTTTGAAGATAAGATCTTCCTCAACTGGAAGGAACCTGTGGATCCAAATGGCATCATTACTCAGTATGAGGTAATCATCAGACACCTAACAAGCATAGGATGGGGCTAGGGAGGTACATCAAGAGGGGTGGTTGACAGTGGGTGTTTATGCTTTTTAAGCAGCTATTCAATAGTATGCTCCTTTCATTTACGGAATACATGATTTTCTGTAGTGGTTATACACTCAAACTTTGTAATTATTGTGCATATGACTGTCCATCCCTTAAATATCAAGTGCCTTAAATATCTTTCATTGTTGCTATATACCATTCCAAAGCCATGACAGCCATAATCTGCAAAATTTTCTTCATTGGAAGCAAAGGTTACATGAAAAATAAGATGGTTATGAAATTTGGAGCAATGTTTTTTTTAACTTTGTTAGATTTTTAAATATCACCTTTTAAGAAAAACTCCATATGAATTCTGTTTAAGGTGTATTTACTTTATGAGCCTTCTGGGGATCTCCATAGGAAGTTGGCAGGTAACACAACCTGATTTGAGCAACAAACACCACACTTTCTGGCACTCTTCTTTTAAAGGAAAAAAGATATAACTTTGCGTATTAGTGAATTATAGGAAGGCAAACCACCAAACCAAACAAAACCCCTTAAAAATTATTATTTTATCTATATATTTTTTTATTTATTTAATGTAGACTAAATTTAAGAGCTAGTGTGAGTTAAACCAGGTGGGCAGCTCAACCCCTCAGTGGAATGTAACTGTGAAATTTTCCATACATAAACTATGTAAAAGCAGTTGATGAATGAGATTAAAGCAGATAAATGCTTCCTTAATTTTTAGTTGGAAACAGATGCAAAAGGCAGTGGATTAACAGTGATATTAGCCCTGAGAGTGCAGCCACAGAGAAATCAAATTGTGAAACTCAAAATGTTCCATGGTGATTCTCTAACCAGCAAGGGAGTGTGTCATCCAGCAGTAATGATGAAGGGTGCCTGCACAGTCTTTTAAGTAAGGCAAACTCTTCAATAATACACATGAAATCCTCATTGGTTTAGTGCTGGACTTGACACTGTTGGGTTAATGGTTGGAATCAATGATCTTCAGGATCTTCTCCAACCTAAATGATTATGTGATTCTGTGGTATCCCCAAGATAAATGGGTAGCTAGATGAGCACATGTCTTTTGTTTCCTTTCCAGCCAAGCTAACCTAAATCCCTTGTGCCAAAACTTTTAAGAGTTGTTGCAAAAATTACTTTTTCCCCAGGTGAGCTATAGCAGTATACAGTCATTTGACCCTGCAGTTCCGGTGGCAGGACCTCCACAGACAGTCTCCAAGCTGTGGAACAGCACACACCACGTCTTCTCTCACCTACACCCTGGTACTACTTACCAGTTCTTCATACGTGCAAGTACCATCAAAGGGTTTGGACCAGCAACTACCATCAATGTAACAACCAATATCTCAGGTAAGAACAAACAACAGCATAAAGAAAAAGCAGGGAAGGGGAGGGGGGAGATGTCTTTTGAATATTTTTGTATGACTCAAGAGATTGTGAAATGCTTAAAAAAAACCCCACAAAAAGTCCTACCATGTTAAGAAATTATGTTACTAAAAATGTTTCTGGGTGTACTCACCACAGGGTAGCGTACGTTCAGGGATAAATCCTTGCAGGAGGTGAAAATTGCTCAGCTGTAGTTGTGAACTGTTTTTTCTGTGTAATACAGTACTTTCATCCAAAGATTTTGAAGTGCTGTGTAAACCTTAATTAATTAGGCCTGTCAACACTCCACAGGTCACTAAGAACTGCATCTGTTTTGCAGGTTAGTAAAGTCAGGTGCAGAAAATTACTGACTTACTGAAGGTGACACTACTTAGCAGCACACAGCTGTAACAGGGTCAGGGAAGTTGAGACAATGTGCGAATTTCTTTTGCCAGATTCACATAGGTCTGCTTCCTTGGGTCTTTATTGATTTATTGCAGTGCACCTACTTTGACATTATTTGTCTTAATAATGCACTGTAAACTCTGGAAGACAGTTATGTCAAATGAAATGTTTTGTCAAATGAAATGTTATTCTCAAAGAATAAGATAGTGGCTTATGCAGTTGATAGTGGAAGATAAGTCAATGCTATATTCAGAGAAACTTGATTTTGTGACATGGTGACTTTAGAGCTTGGCAAAGATCAAAGAAGTCAGCCATTTACATATTTAAGCAACACAAAGCAGGATATTTTCCTCATTATCTGTCATAATGAAACTCAGATTGTCCTGTAAAGAGAAGTTAATAATGTAACAGAATGCACCTATGATTTTTGTGGGATACAGTTCATGTAGTCTCTTCACAGTACATGATAACACACCCATAAATCAAAATGTGAGAAAATTCAAGGTAGAGCTCCTTGAATTATGTAGCAAATAAAATGCTGTAGTTGTCATTGCTAACTGGAACAGTTTGTGGAATTCCACCCCAGCACATAAGCACTAGCACTCCTCATACCCCTGTCCCTTCAAAACAAGACAATGCACAAAAACCACCAAATGATGTGTTCTGTTATGTTTATGTAGATATTAGATTGTTTTGGAGTCTGATATTTTACTCAGATTGTTTTAAGGGTTTCTTCACAACAAATTTTAGTTCATAAATTTTCAGATATTATGGTGGTGTAATCCTTGCATACCTTTCTTCTAACCTCTTAGTAAAAGGGAAAGAAAAGATGTATATATCTTGCTAGTATGTCTGATACTTCAGCATTTTGAGTAAAAAAAGTTCCTCAACGTGTTTGGATTATTTAGGACTACAGTGAATTCAGGCTTCTTCAGATGTGCCCTCTTTTCCCACAAAGAAATTTTGGCAGTTTTGTCCAGAATCCAGTACAGCACAACTTTCTAGACAGAGTGTGTATCTTGTTAGTTGGGAAAACATGGTTAATGCTAGGAATGCTCAAAGGCAGGCTGTGACACCCCTTGTATCTGAACTTCAGCCTGTTCTTTCTATCTTGCTTTAGGCTGAACTGTTGTCCAGTGTCTAGTCTGCATGACTGGTACTTTATACGGAGCGATGCATGTTTAAGAAAATGCTAACTTTCATTTAATGAGCAGTGAAATGATTACTTTTAACTAAGCTTACAAGTGGTTACTGTGATTCTAGTGAACATGGTGTAAGCAGTAATTTTAAAATTAACATTAAATGAACATTAATTCTATAAAATATTATTTCCTGAAATAAGAGCAGGTTTTTCATTCATCTAGGATCTAGGACTAATGAAGCAAGGCTTTTAATCTTTCAGAGCTCTTCTATCTATTGATATAGTACTGTAAAATTATTACGGCTCAAATGATTCATGTCCTGTTAGGAAATATCTTTTTTGAAAGTTCATTTGGAAATATATAGGCTTCATTAATGATTTTATAATGATACAGCCACATATTTAAAAAAAAAACAAACATGCAGATAGTTTTCAAACTTATGAAAAATTAGCAATTTTTAGAAATCTATTCTTTTCTGATTCACAGAAAATCCTGTTTCTTTCCTTGCACTGGGGCTGAAGTCAGTAACAGTATTACCAGTGAGGACTGTAACAGGCAGCAGATTAAAGGTGGATGGTTGAAGTAATTGCCAACACTAGCCATCCCACCCACAACAAATACTGCTGCCATGAGGCATGACAGTCTGACAGCCCATTAGTGAATCAATTCCTGAACTACTTCTGGTTTTGACTTTGATTTTGTTCTTTCATAGTGGTTTTGAAGCTGATTAATGAGCAGCTTGGCCGTCCATTGATAGGAATGGGCATGGGAATGGATTCCCTGATCCAGTTCTAGCCCACAGATGCATGTCTATATAAGTCCAATTTTCCTGCACACTGGTTGATATTGGCATTGTTTCCCATCATGTTCAAGAGGAAATATGAAAGGTTCTTAAATTGTTCAAGGCAGATGGTAGAAGCTGGGTCTTTGACATGGTGACTGTAGTTATTTGCAGGGTAGAAAAATTGCTGCAAAACGTGTGGATTTTATTGTAGTTTAGGGTTTCTTGTCAGTCACCTCCTCCCTCTATTTCTCTCCTTCTTGAATAAAACTGTTTCAAGTTGAGAGGTGTCATGATTTGATGGGAAGTGGTTAGGGGTAGTGTTATCATTTGTTCATTAAATACCATTCATGCCACAGTAAAAGAATGTGTCTGACTGGAAAAACTGTTTAAAAATACTCGCATGGCTGATAAAGATTGTCTCTTTGTTCTATATCCAAGCAGCCACAACCTCATAAAAATTCTAAATGCTTTCACTGATTTGTTTCTTGTTCTTTTCATTCCCTCAACATTAATCAGCTCCCACTTTACCAGACTATGAAGGAGTAGATGCATCTCTCAATGAAACTGCTACTACAATAACTGTACTCTTGAGACCTGCACAGGCCAAAGGTGCACCTATCAGGTAAAAAAAAAGAAATCAAGAAGAGTTAATTTTTTATTTGAATATTTGTTGTGTCACTGTATATAGAGCTGTTTATTTCTGAGTGACATTCATTTAACATCACTATTTTTTTTTCTTACCTATACCTAGCTTGCCAATAGATGTGTAATTAAAGAAATTCTGGGGTTGGCAGGGTTTTTTTTTTAAAGATACTCATGGCCTGAATCATTCAGCTACCTGACCTGTTTGATATAGGGTCCCCAGAACCACCTTCTAGCCATTATAATTTCATTTTATTTTCTCACAGTGCCTCTGAAATATGATGCTGAAAGGTGTTTGTCAGAAGGTAGATTTCAAAATAACACTTCCACTCCAGTGCTTCAAAGTCAGCTACTCTATAGCATATATGTGTGATTGGAAAATTGTAAGCTATGGGGAAATGGGAGAATAATAGTGATGAATACAAACTATTTGACCTTTTCCTTCTGAGAGCGCTTCTTACTGGGATTCATGTAGCAAGCTATTAAATTTTATTTGGCATGTCCTCTAATCATATTAAAATGCTTCATTTATGTTAACTTTGAGGGGTCTTTCCCTTTCTGCTCTCTGTTGAGAGATAATTTAATTTTGTTTGCAAAGATTAGTCCCCATCCTGATCTTTACTTCTACTTGTTAGTGTAAAAATTTTATGATACTATTTGATTCCATTTGTATTTTACTGATGTGGCTGCATCAGCAATATTCAGGGGCAGGGTTGACTAATTGGGGGTTAATTAGCTGCTGAGCATCAGAAGGTTTTCATGCTATTACCCTTGTAACATTTTAGAGAAACACAGGCTAATGCATTTCATTCTGTTTTACATTAAGTCCGCTATCAAGGCTCAGCTGATGTCACAGGCCCAAGCCCTTAAAGCAGAGGAAAATTAACTGTCTCTTAAGTCTATTTCCATTAAGAGGAATGTATGTTTTACATGAATGTTGTGGGGGATGAGTCACATACCTATATGCATTTTTATGTGCTTATCATATAATCACTCTTATGATTGATATTATCAAGTTATTTATTTATATTCTGTCATAGAAGATAATCCATATTAATCTCTATTATAGGAGATTTTCATGTGTTATATTTAAAATTGTTATCTCACGAATCATTCATTTCTGAGAAATTGCTCTGGGGCAAACCTAGGATTTTTGGAGAACAGGGCTGCTTTCAGTATGGGACTTGAATTCTTAAAATATGGATTTTTTAAAAATTAATACCATGGAATCCAGACTTGTGGTCTGAAAATGCTCCCAAATCTGCAGGTGCTTAAACTTGCTTCACTATATGCCTTTGTAGGTGCTTTTAAAGAATTTCAAGTGTCCTGCTGTTGTCCTTAATGAAAGCTGTCCCTGTTAAGGACATGTGATATCTGTCTCTCACATAATCCATGCCACATCCTTTCAGTCTTGTGTCTGGCCACCTGAGGGAGCTGAGGCGGATTCTTGCCCAGAGCTTCCCTGCTGGACACCACTTGCATCTGCTGATGGCAGTGGTGCACATCATCTTTACAGCAGCTGCTCCAGGGCACTCCTGGGCTGAGAGCAGCAGGCTTCCACCTTCAATCCCACCACACATCTTCAGGGGGTCAGTCTTGGGTCCTGGGTCTCTCTCCTGGAGGGGTGGTTCTTTCTTGAACTGGTAGCATGATGGGATGTGGCTAGAGAATTACTCATGCGGCTAGAAAATGACACACCCTAGCTCAAGAAGGTCTGGTTTCTCTGCTCTGTACTTGCAGACGAGGAACTTGCTGCAGAGTAAACCTGCAGAGTAAGCCTCACATTTATTCTGTCAGTTTTCCTCACAGCATCCTCAGTTCAATGGCATGAGCTTGCCACTGTGGCCTATGAAGATGGCAGAAAGGACCTATGTACTAAATGTTAATAGACGGTTTGATAGTGATAGTTTCACAGAGTATTAATAACTGTTGTTTGACTGTGTTCTCAAAAAAGCCTACTTCTTTCTTACTTCTTAAACCTAACATCAAGAGGCCAAGGAAATAAGTCCTTTACCATAACTGGAGACTTGGGCTTTATTCTTAAAATCAACCAGGTGTTTTATTCCTTATTTGGAATAAGAAGCATTCTCCAGGGGAATGCAGAAGGCATGGTGTTATTGCCTTTTCTGAAGCTATGCATATTGCAGTCAGGTACTTTTCAGCAGCTTCTTAATAGGGAGATAAATGTAGCACACTGAAATTCTGAATTATTCAATGCATTTTGCTAAATCTTATGATATATTTTAGTGAAGCTTCACTCCATCCATACTGCAATTTTGTTTCCTCTAGAAGCTGGATTACTGCCATAATGAGTGTTACTAGGTAGGTGGGGAAAAAATGGATCACCGTGCCTGCAGCTGTGATGGAATAGAAGGCACTCAGATGCTGTTTTTATCCTGACCATGAATAATACAGCTGGCTTTTTGAAAAGTTTTTTTCTACCCAGTTCTGTAATCACTGGAGCTGTAGATGGTCATTTCATTTCAAATCAATAGGTTAATGCTAAAAAAATAAAATAGGAAAAGAAAAAAAAATAGGAAAAAAGTTCAGTCTGATACTCTTTTGCTTTTACAAATGGATTTATGCCATGATTAGATTTCCATCATAGCCTCCCAATCAGCACAGCCCCTCAGCAAGCAGATGTTCCTTATCTTAAGTAGAATCTATGTGCAGTATTTCTTTAAGACACTGCCTGGCTGCCCTAGTTGTCAGAGTTTTAACATGGCTCTAATCATACCTTCACTGTCAGGTTTTATTGTGCAATCCCTAGCATTCTTTATGGCCTCCTGGAGTTTAAAAACAAAATTACAAACCAGAAATGCAAAGGGAGACAAAGCTGGATGGCTCAGGCTCACTTTAAATCGCGTATAGTTTCACCATCAATCTTGTGGATGAGATTCCAGTCAGTAGAATCAATGGTGCTTCGGTGATTCATTTGAAGATGTGATTTGTTGCTGTAGTTTTTCCTGAAGGTTCCTAACTGAGTATCAGAAAAACAATTTTTTTGTTTTCAAATCCTACTGCAGATAAGGATTACAAAGAGTGTACATCAGAATCAGAGTAAATTTCTAATGATTAATTTTTTTTATTTGATTGTTAAAGTGCTTTTCTTGTACTTCCTTAAAATGAATTAGGTTTTTTTCATTTTGCAGCAAGATTAATTAAGGGCACCATGTCAGGGAGCAACTAAAACAATCACTATCAATTAGAATTCCAAGAGCTGGGACTGAAACTTGAGCTCGTCAGTCAGTGTGGTGCTTGTCAAAGGAGAGGAAGATGTATCTCCACTAGACACATAGAAAGAAATGTCTAGCAGGTATTTAAAATCTAGTCAGAATAGGGCTAAAGCATGAACAACATTCATGCTATATCTCTTTGGATCCTGAATTTTTAGGCAGGGATAAAAAGGAAGATGTCAGAGACTTCCTTCACCTGTTTGCAATTGTCTTGGTCAATAGCAAGGTACTGTATGGGTTTTCTTAAATTAACTAAAAAGGCTTTGTCATGAGAAATAATTTCTTCATGGAAAATTTCCATGAGGAGCTCTTCAGCTGCTGTATCTTCAAAATTTCTCTGCTTACCTGGCTGTCTCAGACAACTCTTTGGCCTTTATGATCCTGATGACTTATGTAGCAGGTTCTGAAATTTTTATTACTCTTCAGAATAGCTCAGAATTTATTTTAGTCATCAAGAAGAAGGAATACTGTCATCTAAGCTTTCCACTCCTCTCTCTTTATTTCCCTATTTTAATCCTTCTTTGTTGTATGGAAAGATGAGGAAAAAATTCTATTGTAGAAATTCCCTCAACTCCTGTCATAAAAAAGCTCTCTCAATAACTGAATTCTCACCAGCACAAAAAAGAAAAAAAGTATAGAAAATCTAAGATAATTGAAGTTAGTATTAGTTATATGTAAAGACACAGGGATAAGCAGAGTGCATAGTTAAATTTTCACTAATACTTGATATCAAAACTTGATATTTGCAGCCGGTGAACACCCCACTTTTCAAGCTGCAAATTTAGCTTTGACTTGTTTCGTTACATGTTACAGCAGGGTGTCCTTTCCGAACATTGTTGTGTGCACACAGAGTAACAGTGCTGCTCTGGAGCCACTGCAGTGTTTTGTAAATGGCTTTAAACAGATGGTATCACAAAGGGCCCAGAGGTAAACTACTGTATTCCTCCATGTCTTGTTAGCCTATAATGCTGCATGAACAATACTGCCAGATCACTTATCTAAAGAGGATTGGCAGATCTTTTACTTAAATGTACTTAGTGAGACTACATTAAAAAAAGAATAAAAATAAAGCTTTGTTGGAGACTTAAAACAGTTTCTGTCATTTGCTATTTTTTCTATTCTGTAAGTGTAGATGACTACAATATGTATATCTAGGTCTTATTTTCCATGTATTGTAGTTTTTCATATGTAGGGGTACAAAAAGCATTTTTGGAATATATTTTATAGAAATTAATTTAGTTGAAAGTTTTTCAGAACCGTCACATTTTATTGTGGTCTTATGCTTAAAATTTTGCCATACCTTTTATATCCCATTCAAAAATCAGTGTTCTTTTAAAGAAGGCTATAAAAAGAGACTTTTAACCAGTTTGATTCTCATGCCCTTCATGTTTGATTTTTTGTCTCCAAAGAGACTTGACCCTTAAAAAGGAGATATGCCTTAAAATGAAGATACCCTATTTATCCCTTATTCTGTAAAATGGAGGGGGGAAGAGGGGTTGCTTGCTAGCTGTGGTGCGTCTCATTTTTGGAGCAGTGTGACAAACCAGGCTGTTCCAGGGGACTGTTGCCTCTGTCACGTGCAGGCATTGCACTGTCCTTCCTCTGTCCCTGCTGGCTTTCTCCTTTGAAGCTCCCAGGGTGTCACAGACAAGTTTCCTGCTCTTCTGTCACTTCTGAGAGCAGAATTTGTGTCTGCCCCAGACCACTGGCAGCTGATGAGAGAAGACTGCAGAATTCAGGCAGCAGAGACGTGGTGTTTGTGTCCCAGGGCTCTCCAGTTGGTTGTCTGCCCAATTCCGAAACAGTGTTTTTACCCTGCTTGCATCCAGGGCCAGGCCAGGGAGGGAATGAATGCCAGTAGTCATTTATTACCTTGGGACATTATAAATAAAAAATTTAAAATATTTTTCATCCCGTCAAGTTTTTAAAATATCAATGCTTTTGGGGTTTTTTGCTAGTACATTTATTTTGAAGCATAAAGAAATATACTGGATATACAGGGGTTTTGTGTAAGTGATTTGTTGGTACAGTCCCCATTAACTGGAGATGGTTAATACATAGAGGCTACCACAGAAGGTGATGTATAACTGAGCTCAGTTCATGGTCAGTTTATGAGAAAAAAATATCCCCAGGTCTAACTTTTTTTTCTTTTTACATTTTTCTTTCTTCCTGGACTTTCAAAACTGAGATGGCTTTTGATATTCTTCTTGGGCACATTGAAATGGAGGAAAGAGGCATTCCTGCTTAATTTTTACACACTAGGAAAAGGGGATGCTAACGTCTTCTTTCAGCTTAGGAAAGAAATGAAACTAATTTCCCATTTTATTTCTTCTCCTCTTTCTTCCATTCCCCAGTATCATACTTTATCTCTGCCACTGCAGTTATTGGGTTTTCTGAGCAGCAGTAGCAGAGAAAATTGACAAAATAATTTAATGCTGCCGCACAAACTCTGAAAGGAGTCTTTGCCTTTCAGAGTCCTTGCAGCAATGCAGTGACACTTTGAGAATTTGGTTCAGTTTTACCTTTTCAGTTTAGAAAGTTTTATAGCAAACCCAAGACAGACAAGTCTGCCAGTTTAATTCAAAAGCTTCAGGTTTCTTGTCTACATGCCTTAAAATCCCCAAACCTCTTTTTTTTTCCTATAAAATGAAGGATTGCCTTCTGCTCTCACTATGTAAATTCTGTACTTCTGAAAAGCAGAGGAAGCTGATAATGAGTTGGTAACATCCTGCAGTTAGGTAGTTCCTCTAAAGAAGAAAGAATTATAATTACCTGTTCTATTTTGAGCAGGTGATTTTGAAAAGTGACCAAGCCATGATCCATTTCAACAGAGGTATTGGGAGGTTGAGGTGGTGTTTTGATGGGCTGAATACTCTCTGCTTCAGCAATTCATAATATTTTATCATTGACAACTGTAAAGGAATGAGGCAGTCTCGTTCAGTGGAATGGACAGATTTCTGTCCATCTGTGCTTGTATTACAGCATGTCATTTGTACTTTAGATCTGCATAGCTCTGAGCCAAGATAGAAGCCACAGCAAGGTCAAGAGGTGGAGAAGCCTGTCAGCACATTCTGTCTCTAATGATATGACAACTGCAAATTGGTGCTTCAAGCACAGCCTGGAGGCAGCCATTATGTTGGGACTTGAAGCTCAGCTTTCTCTAATACTGTTTCAAAGGAAAATACTAACTTCAGATTGCTTCTGATCAGCCAAGAGTTTAATCTGTTGTAGTTTAACACATTTTTTTCCTGTGTTTCTTTAAAAAAAAAAAAGTTTTAAAGAAAAGTAATAATAAGAGGTCATGTATGGATTTGTATTGTTGTTTTTCACACACACACACAAAAAAAAAAGTATGCTGCTTCATTCCAACAGCTGAAATAAACAGTTTTGCTGTATTTCCAGCCTTTGTTTCTTCTCTGCATCCATCTCCTGTCTTGTCCTTTTTTCCTCTGTCTCACCAGTGCCTACCAGATTGTTGTTGAAGAGCTGCACCCGCACCGAACAAAGCGAGAAACTGGTGCCATGGAGTGCTACCAAATCCCTGTCACCTATCAGACTGCCCTTAGTGGAGGCTCACCATACTACTTTGCTGCTCAGCTGCCCCCAGGAAACCTGCCAGAGCCAGCCCCCTTTACTGTGGGTGACAACAGGACGTACCAAGGTTTCTGGAACCCGCCGCTGGCTCCTCGGAAAGGCTACAACATCTACTTCCAGGCCATGAGCAGCGTTGAGAAGGCAAGTGCTGACAGCACCTTGCTCCTGCAAGGTGGCAAAGACATGCCTGTGGTGACAGCTAGGACTGCTGGAGTTGGACGTGGGAGGTGTTGGCAGTGGCATGGCTGAAATCCCCCTGGTGCTGTGACAGCACGGCAGTGTGCCATTCACATTTCACATCAGCCTCGTGTCACAGAAACTGCTACTAGATGGGAGTTTAATGCATCTCATAGTAATTGTCTGAGGGAAGTAATTTCAGGACTGTGACTGTCTCCTTGGTAAATAATATCCACAGTGCTTTCCCCAGTTCTCAGTACCTGCGCTCTTTAGAAGATTAAATTACTGCAGGCTAAAGAGAATGTGGGCTGCTCAGTGGGCTAGTAAAACATTGCAAACTTTTTAAGACTCTCACACTGGACATCAAATAAAAAGTAAACATTTTCTTGAGCAAAAGTAACTGCTGGCCCACCATGAGTTTGAGAGTCTTTCTGAGAAAGTGTACATCAGCACTGCTGTGCAGTAGAATTATGGCTATCATTCACCTTCATTACCTCCTGGGTGCCTCTTTTTAACTCTGCTGCTGAGTGCTGCTGCTGGCTCTGCGTGCATATGGAAGGAGGAGAAGTGTCAGGGAGAGAGGTTCCAAGGTTCCAGGTGCAAAGAACAACTGTGGCTCTGCAAACCCCAGGCTGTTGCTTTTGAATGGTTTTTCCTCTTGTAAATGAAAAATGAGGGAGAGGAAAAGGATTGGTGAAAAGGGAAAATATGGTAGACAGAGAAGCCTTAGGTATTTAAAATTTAATATTTGGATATATAGTTTAGAAAACTGAGGTGTCCAGGCAGTTTGGACAGGAACTAGAAAGGCTAGACTGATAATCACTGATATCTAGCAGAACCATTGGAAAGGAGCAGAAGCAGTGTTTACTCTTCCTTATGCTTGGATCACTCTGGTGACTGAACAAATCCCTGCTAACAGGCAGTCTTGCCTTGGAGTCTTTTGAAGGAAATCTCAACCTTTACCTATGATTATGAAAATTGGATATGCATCAAGTCAGAATGGGTACAAGGGTGTTTGAAAATCGGACTTTTTTTCTCATTCAGTAGATCATTCCCTCTTTTCAGTTCTTATTTAAAGAACTATATGAAGTAAACAAAGCAAAATAAAAGGTGACTGCTAGACACCCATCCATATTTCCCCCACCTGTTAAAAATAATTCCCTTTGTTTTTGTGGATTTCCAGTAGACTGCATTGTAAAAAAATTTGTTTCATTCCCTGAGGCAAAAAAAAAGGGAGGGAAAAGTAAAATGAAAGTACAAAATATATTTAGATATTTATTTTGGCTTTTATATTTTGATAGATGAGTAGAAAATGAGAGAACACAGTATTTTTTGGTTAAACACAGCATTTTTTGGTGATTTCAGTTTGTGAGAAATTTTAATCCTAAAACAGATTTTTTTATTATGTTTGAAACTTTGGATCAAATTTCTGTTCCTACAGGGATTTAGTGGGAGGTTTTGAGGGGAACTGCACTACATTCTGCCAGGACAGAGATCTAGTGCTTGTAAGATAACATCTGAACTGCAGAATATTTAAACAGATGCTTTGCTGTAAACCAGTGGGATCTGAAATAGGCAGAGGGAAGTAAAGTAGGCTCTGAAGTACATGGTAGGGTTGAGAAGAAGTTACCCTGTGATCTTTGCAGACATGTTGAACAGAAACAGACAAGTAAATCCAGTAACTAGGGAGAATGGGTAAGAATATGTTAGTAAACTTTGTGGGACTTTCATTTTGATTGAAAAATTGTCCTTATTGAACACCTACAGTGCCTCAGCTTAGAGTTTTGCTAGCAGTTTACAAGTTGTGTTTACAAACTGGCATCTACATATTTTACCTGTTGCTTTTGAATCTTCAAGAGGAGACAGATGCCAGGGGATGTATTTGGGGATGGAGGATTAGAGTAAGCATATTTTATAGAGTGAAACTGTCATTATTATATTTTCAAATCACATGCTAATATTGTTTAGAGTGATCTAATACCTAATGCTCACACAACCTTATGCTATTTCAGTATGTTTTCCTTTAAAATGACTGTGCATTGTACAGTAAGGTCAGAAATCCCATTTATGATTGATCCTTGTCTGTTCAAGTTGTCCTAACTGTGCAAAACCTAGCAATTTCTCTGTTCATTTGTTTTAATTGCTCACCAGACTTCAACAATTTGAAATTTGAGGGGAGAGAGTCGTAAATTACACAGAAATTTTCTTTGCATGTGAAGCATCTTCTGAAGCACGTTGCTGTCAAATCACTGTCTCCCTGGGCAGACAGTATAGGTTGCAGATTAACTGTGTCATGTGTGGAGGGATATCTGAGCTACATCTGTGCTTATTCCACACCCAGCAGCATGAGGGAGCGTGTTGCTCATGTGCTTCAGGTGACTCTTTAAGAGTGCCAGGATGTAGCAAGACATAATTTTGGAGACAGTGCTGAGCAAGTGTATCTTTGCTGCACAGTGCTGTTTCAGGTCAACACAAGCTCAGGATTTTTGTGCTGTGACATAAATAGGAGCGCCACTCCTCCCTTTTCCTCCTGCTGCATCCTCTCTTTGTATTCTTATGGTATGATTTCCATTTGATTTGAATAACCTGAAATTTTGCTGTATTTGGGCTGTCCCACACCTTCTCTCCCCATTATCATCCTGGACAATACATTCCAATCAAGACAAAATTCCCCAGCCTCCACCCCTGCTAAGCCCAGAGCCCTGAGCCAATTCATTGGGTTGTACCAGCTGACCAGTAGATCTAAGATGAATGTATGGAGTGGGGAGGGCAAGAAAAAGCCCTTGATCTGACTGTTTTCTTTACTTTTCTTTCCTTAACAGGAAACCAAAACTCAGTGTGTTCGAATAGCTACAAAAGGTAAGAGGTTCGTCCCCACACACAAAGTAGCTTTTTAAATGAATTGTGGTGCTGCTGTTAAAGGTTCAAAGCAAAGCCAGTACTATCCCTCTATTTTGAACCACTCGATTGTGTTAAAATGTAATGGTCTGCTGCTTTTTATTCTTTGGTATTGAGCCAAGAGAGTACTGTTCTAGCAATACACAGAATTTCGACAAAATAAGGACACTTCTTTATTTCCCCTTTCTGTCTGTGGCTTTCAAGATCTGCTTTTAGAGTGCTGAAGCATTGCAGGCAGCAGATAGATGGACAGGAGAGAAGAAAGTGCACATGGGTAAACTGTCTGTTAGACTAACAATTATTTTCAAGCAGGGGTGGAAATAATTTAAATGAAGGACATGACAGTTCATTTTCCTAAGGAAGAGCTCCAAGTGTTAGCGAAACGTAGGGGAGGGTTGATTTGAGAAAAGCTCCTCTCTGACAGCAAGTGAGTTCCAGGACTAAGGCTGACTGCATAGCTGTGAGAATAAATCATGTTGACCCCATATACAGCAGGTTAATCACATACTGCTCACTCAAAAATGTTGTTTCATCTTTGAATGAGGACTTAGTTGTTTTGTTTATTGTTATCTCTTGCTTTGGCTGTATTTATAGCCACTCGTTTTGGTGGCTTGATTATGCCAGTTGCTTGATAGATTCTGGCAGCTAAACAAGCAAGGAGCTTGCAAATGCCCAAAGAGTCTTCTGCAGAGGCCCAGCACTTATGTTGTCTCTTTCTAATTGCATATTGATATTCAGCATAAAAAGAACTTTAGATAGGAGGAATCAGGTATTAAAATACTGCAGAGGCACATCAGCCCCATTTTTTCAATAACTTCCCTCAATTTAAATCTTGTTCAAATGAAAAGGTGATGTCTCTAATGAGATGGTAGCAATCAAATGTTTTCTTGAGAAACCAGAAAAAAAATGTACTTCTTAATATGTGTTAGCATTTTCATCAAGTGAGGTATGCTAATATGAACAGGAAATTAAAACCATGAGCTAAGTCTTCTGTAAAAAGTATGTCAGCATTATGTTTCTTATGTTTACCTGGCAATATTAAATGTTTGAATTAAAATATATTTGCATTAAAAAATATTTATGTACCACAAGCATGTACTGCTAGTATTGGGTCTAGGGAGAGTTTGAAAGGCTCAGAAATAACTCAAACTATTGCAGGACAGTGGAAGGGGAAAACAATGGTCTCTCTCATCATAAATTTTCTGGATAGTAATAATAAAACAGGAGGGGAATTCACCTGTCATATGAGGAAATTATTTTTTGCTTAACCACACATTCCCCCAATCTCAAAGCAATGTTCATGGTAGCAAGAGACCCCTTGGTGGTTGCTTATACACCTTCCTTTGCTGCAACAGTCACATTCCCCCTGATGGCTGTAGTCTGAAAGAAAGGCAAAATAAGTTTGAGGTTTGTTACCGTTGTGCCTTATATATTGCCCTTGACACTCTGACTGAAGACAGGTTTCCCTGAAGTAACTGAGTTGCCTGATATATCAGTGCTAAATTCCTTGAAAATGGACCTAAAAACTGAAGTGTTTTCTCTGACTTATTTTAATTGCTGGCTGTGAATTGCAGGGGGAGGCAACACTAGGAACAAATGCTTTCTCTTCCTCTGCAGGAATACATTTAATAAGGAATCATCATTTCAGAGTCATATTGTGTACATTGTGTACACATTATGTACATTCAAATTTCTCAAATGAGTTATGCTGGTATTCTAAAGTAATTTTTCACAGTTCATACTGATTTTTTTCCCATGTTTTCATAATAATAATAATAATACTATGATATGTTATATTTGAAGAAAAGTATACTTAATATACTGGTTTATGTGTATGCTCATCTGGTTACCCTGATTTGTTTGTTGATTTGTTTGTTTGGTTTTCTGTAGTGTGTAAGATCACATTGAATTATTGGTGTAGGAAATGTCTGGTTATATTTGTGATATTTTCATAGGAAAAAGGGACTGTCTCACCTTACCTAATGCACTCCAGTAAAGCAAACCTACCTGTTTAAAATCTGGGAAATTGTCTAAACTATGTATGCCATTATACATAGTTTGTAGTAGTGTGTAGTGCTGTGTCATGTCTTGTGACTTGAAGCAGCCTACAGGTGGCCAAACTGAATTTTGCCTTGAACGTGTTGAAAAGACATTAAAAATTTTTAAAAGCTGTGTTGGAAGGGGGTAGGGAGGAACAACAGAAAAGGTGCACATTAAGACAAAATCTCCTTGGTAGTGAAGCTCAGTATTACCAGCAAAGTTACTTTCTTATTTCTATCTTGTTCAAGGATCTGGTTTACCTACTGTGAATATTCACACCAATAAAACGTAAAGATGGAAAAAATATGACAGCAATGTGCTGGAGAAATTCATCCCTAACCAATTTTTTTGGGGGGGAGGGGGACAATTCCCTAGCAACATGCTTTCCATGTATTTTAATGCATTATGGGTTTCACTCCTATGATTTCCAAGGTTGCCTTCTACCTTTGGGAATTGATGGACTATTTTGTTTATTGGTGTTAAACTAACAGAAGCCAACAAATTTAAATTGAAGCACTTGTACTTTTTTGGTCTGTATATTCCAGGTGCAGTGCTATCATATGCTTCTGATAACACATGCATGGAAGTGTCAGATCATCTGAAAGATGGTGCCAAATCATGACTAAAGAATGTTGCTGCTCCTTCTTGGTGTGCCTTGAAAAAATGCTTTTGAGTAAACAGAGAGACATACTAGTGTCTGGTGTACTGAAATACACTGAGTTAATTTTTCATGGTAGAAAATACTGGAGCAGCACCTATTTAAAAAGTAGCTTCCTGAGCAGTTCCTGTGTACTTGCAGCTGAAGGATGCAGGCCAGTGATTCTTTGATGGTCCTTAATTAGACTAACAGTAGCATTGCCCTTTTTCTAGGCACCTACTTCCATGGCACTTGTGGGAGCTTAATGAGTAACTTTTGCCCTTCTGCACAGTGGAACCAATTGGCCAGGCCAAGTTATTAGATGTGATGAGGGAATATGAAATGTTACAGACGTGTACACAGTCTGTTTGCATAAACTTTGATTCTTGATGAAAGCAAGTTGAAACAATGTTAAAAATAACTCCTTGTACCACAGGTGGTAAATACAACATATCTAAAACACCATTTCCAGTTAGAGGTATAGCCCAGAAAATATATTAACTATGAACAATTTTGATTCCTTGGACACTGTTAACCTACACTGCCTTCCTCTGTTAAGCTGAATCCCCTTCTCATCCAGAAACTCTCAGTAACCAATGACCAGTGTATTTTTTTTCCCTAATAACATTGAACTATTCAATACCTTGTTAATTCTTGAATCTAGATAGTAGGATTACCCAGTCACTAATAATCTGGTTTCCCACACATAGTAAATGAAGAAGGATAAACAAAAAATCTTGTTTTCTGAAGAGCAGAGAAGAGTTCAGAGGCTGAGATAACCAGTCAGATATTCAATAGGAATGGAAAGATGGAGTTAGGAAATATGTGTAATTTGATAAAAAAAAAAATCTGTTATATATAATTTCCTAAAGAAAGTCTTGAACCTCCTGATACTGTCTTAGTAAGGCAGATTTCAACTGTGGAATTATAGAACTGTTAAGGCTGGAAAAGACCCCTAAGATCACCAAGTCCAACCGTCAACTTATCCACCATGTTCACCACCAAACCACATCCACAGGTGCCATACCCACATGTTTTTTGAATGCTTCCAGGGGTGGTGACTCTACCACTTCTCTAGGCAGCCTGTTCTAATGCTTTACAACTCTTTCCATGAAGAAATTTTTCCTAATGTCTTATTTAAATCTCCTGGCAAAACTTGAGACCATTGAGTAGTTCATAGCATGCACATATCAGAATGAATACATGATAACCAAACCTGCCTAACCAAAGTATTGATAAACTGAAGTAAATAGCAGGTGTGTGCATTTCAGAGTAATAGGTGATGTTGGTGACTGATCTGCCATATCCTGGAGCTGAGTTTGACTGTGTGAAACTTTGAACGGGTTTCCACTCACACACAACATCAGCATTTCATTTTACAGTCTAAAATGTTACCAACTGCTAAGGGAGCGAAACTGGACTAACGTGGTCAGAGAAGAGTGATGCTTCAAATTATTTAGCGTGTAAATATACATTTAAGATGACAGAAGGGACAGCAGAGCTGTTATAAAGCAGAAGTATATGAAGCTGACATTTTTGACAGTTTTCAGGCTGCCAAGTTTGAGGCTATCACTGATTCATGTGTATTCTTTTGTTTTACTTAGTGGGCTAGAGAAAAATATTGAAAATTTAATTAGAAGAAATCTACTGTGGTAGTAAATAAAGAAGTGGTGGACCTGGCAGCTCTATCACAAAGTAGTTAGAGGGAATAAATGAAGTCCAGTGTTTCTCAGTCTGCATTTAAAACAAGAACTTCATCAATTCCAACATTATTTTCCCTCATGGTTTTCATTTGTGTTATTAGTTCAGACAGTATAGAACCTCTCTATCTCTATGCATGTTTGGTTCATACAGATGGATGAAAATGACATTTGAGATGATGCGCATCTGGAAGTAATTGTGAAATGGCAGAAAATGACTTTTTAATCTGATTTGAGGAATAAAGAGGTCTGGGTGGTAACATTTCAACTCCAAGTGTGCATTTAGTCCACCATCATTACTGCTCTGAATTCATTCCCACAGCAGTTGGGGATTGATCCAAAGGCCTTTGATGTCAATGGGAGTCCTTCCACTGACATTAATGTGCTTTGGATTAGGTCTTTAGAAGTCATAAATCTGTCTAGACCATAATTATTTCCTTGAAATTGCTCCTGATGATGTTTCTGCTCTTAGGGAAATTTGTGAAAGTTAAATCACCTCCTGTTGCAGGATGCTCAAAAATGTCTGCTACCAATTAATGCACAAATGAAGGGAATATGTCAGATGCTAAATGTATCTGAAAGGA